ACGCCTCACAATTTATTTTAAATAGTTTAATTTCTCACCATTTTTCTTCTTCTTGTATTTATTTCAATGTCTAATAAAATACAAATTTATATGTATGACTTGCACCATTATTCCTTTTTAAGTAAAGAAAAATTTCGAAAAATGTTAAATAGTGCAGATATTTTCTTTAATCTGATTAATGTTTAATTTTATATATGACAGAAATATTTTTTACGTATAATTATCTAAATACTAATATCTTACATAAAAAATTCGCCGCCGAAAATTTTCAAGTGGTAGTAAACTACTTATCAAAGCAGTTTGAAGTTTTCCTAATTTTGAAACCACTTCAATTTAGAACATATTCATTCTGCTTGCATCAAACTTCTATCCAAATCTTTGTGGTTATCAAGAAAACCCAATAATCTATTTGAACAGGAATTCCTTTTTTTAGTATAAATTTTTTTGCCACTTAAATATTTTTGTCGAACCTCAGGCAGTTCCACGTATAGAAAAACGGCACAAATTGACTGTACGATCCAATATACAATATGAGAATGGAGGGAGTCTAGCTGCCGCATACACATGCCTTTATCGAAATTTAGTAGGAAGTATTATAAAAATTTAGCTCAATTTCGATGAAATGGCACTTTATTCTTCAAAGTATTGGCAATCATGAACTTGCTGGAATAAAACTTAGTCTTTTAATACCCCCGAAGAAAAAGTCCGGCAGCAAATAGTTTGATCTGGTCCAACCACTTCTGATCACGAAAACGGAAAAATACCCGACAAGGAAAAAGCACAACTATGTTCAAAATGCTCAGCACTCAAAATGTCTGGTTCTTTCGCGTAGCCAACCATTTTTAATACTCATTTCTGAAATATCCGCCGTCCCTCTCGTCTTCTTTTTTCGAACATTTTATAACACAAATGGCTTAAAATTCAAATCTAGAGAAAAATGTTGAGACTAGCTTTTTTTAAAATTCATTTTTCTTTTTACTTCACGAGGGAAAAGATCGTTTTCATTAGATATTTAAGCTTCATAAAAATTATAAAAGTGTCCATTTTTATGGAACCATTTAATGCCAACCAGCCCAAAGTCTTCGCCTATTTCGAACTTCCCCTCGAAATTCTTCAGGATGTATTTATAAACTATCTAACTCTTTCGGAATATATGCATATATATTTCCTTTTTGAAATATGTTTTAGCTTATCTCGAAAGAGTATATGTTTTGCGAAAGAGTTTTACCGCTTATGAATATTGCTTATCTTTCAAAAATGTGCTTGTAAATTTACCTTCCCCCCTTTTCCTCAATCGATAACTTTTCCACCACCAGGGGAAGTAATAAAAGTGCACGTAACTTTTCTGAAAAGTAAATTTTCCTTACTATACCCCCCCCCCTCCTCTATAGCCCTCTCATTCCTTTTAGTTGCAGTTACTGTACACTATGCACTCTTCCTTCTTTGGAGCCATTTCNTTTTTTTTTTTTTTTTTTTTTCTTCTCCTCTCTAAGTTTCGTATTGATTTTCGGGCGGAACTTTGAAGTGAAAAAATATTACTTTTGAAACAGTTGAAATGAAATTCCAATATTTTATCAACCTCTGCATATGTGCGACTTAATAGGACTTTGCGTGGTGCTTTTGGTTTTGTAGATGTGACTTTGGTTTTGCGGGCAACTTGATTTTCTATCAGTTAGTTGGGATTTCTTTCTCTCTTTCTTTTTCATCTCAGTGCAAATTGGTTCCGGTCGAAACGAACGTGCCTCATTTCAGATAGATACACGAGGGAGAATTGTATGTAAATAAGATTTTCTAGCGAATGCTCCATTTCTTTGAAAAGCTTCTTTTAATGCTGGCCGATATTGCTTTTTTTTCCGCAAGAAAATTACTTATTTCGGTTTAGGGTTTTGTTTTGTTAATGCTTTTTCTTGTAATTGATTTGATTGTTACACGCATTTTTTTCTTTCCTTTATTGCATTTATGAAAATTTTATGATTTGAATAATAATTGCGCATTTATTTAAAATGTTTGGGTCGTAAGCTGGATCGATGTCACTCTGCCATTTAGTATGTACTAGAAAAGTGGAATTTAAGTTCTACAATTGAATACTAATTGCGCATTTATTTAAAATGTTTGGGTCGTAATATGAATTAATGTTAATCTGCCGTTTAGTGCATACGAGAAAGGTGAATTTGAATTCTGCAGTTTAATAATAATAACACATTTTTTCGAAAAGATTAAGATTTTTATTGTGATTTGTTTGGATCGATGTCACTGTGTCATTTAGTATGTACTTTCTAGTAGGTGGAATTTAAGTTCTACAATTGAAGAATAATTGCGCATTTATTTAAAATGTTTGGGTCGTAATATGAATTAATGTTAATCTACCGTTTAGTGCATACGAGAAAGGTGAATTTGAATTCTGCAGTTTAATAATAATAACACATTTTTTCGAAAAGATTAAGATTTTTATTGCGATTTGTCTGGATCGATGTCACTGTGTCATTTAGTATGTACTTTCTAGTAGGTGGAATTTAAGTTCTACAATTGAAGAATAATTGCGCATTTATTTAAAATGTTTGGGTCGTAATATGAATCAATGTTGATCTTCCGTTTAGTGCATCTCAGAAAGGTGAATTTGAATTCTACATTTTAATAATAATTGCATAGTTTTTCAAAAGGATTAAAATCGTCTTATAAATTGTTGTTCTTAAGTGCTAAATTAATGCAAAATTGAATTTGAATTCTACAATTGAATAATAATTTTGTATTTAAATATTTGTTTCAACAAAAAAATTTTGAATTTTTTTTTTTAAAATTGCATTCGAGTATTGATTGAATGGTATTGAACGCTACTTTGAGCATTTTCTAATAGTAGTTTTATGAATAAATATTTTACTATAGTCCGTTCAGCGGAAGGATAGACAAGATGTAAATAAAAAAATGCGTCACTTAATGACGTTAATCACGTGTTTGATTGTTTGGCCCGGCACTAAAGAGACGGCGGATATTCATTACCTTTTTTATTGTGATTTGTTCGTTCTGAATTATGAAACGATGGAGAATGAAAACAGTTCAACATTCTGTTCTGTAAAAAAGCGTCAGAAAAAATCTTATTTTCAGAAAGCAGAGATACAAATGATTTTAAACTGTTATTCTTTTTAGCATAACTCTGTAAAAATAAAAAATGCTGAGAAAATCCCCAAAAGTGGCAAAACTGATCAAGATTTTGACAACCTAATTGTTTACTTTCGGTCTATGTTTTCAATGAAAGCACTCTTAAGACATACTGTTCTCTATTTCTCTAGTAGACTTGTATTCATTTTTAAGCAATATGCTCATATAGGTTTGACAGAAACTGTGTAGCATTATGATGCTATTAGGGTAGCTCTGACTGCACTCTTATACGTCTTAAGTTATCAATTACAGTAATTCATACTATATTTAAATAAATTATTGATGTTTCTTTAAAAAAAATTAACGTAGATCAAGAAAGCCTATTACATTTACAAATAATATTCCGCTAATTTTTGCCACTTATAACAGGAGCATGATAAAGTATCAGAAATTAACATTTAGTATAATATAATAAACAGATGCCTTTAAGTTTGTTTGTTAATCAACAAATAAAAATTAACAATTTTACACTAATGATTGGCACTTACTACTTATTAGAGATAAGATGGGATCAGCCCGAGTCCAAGAAATTTAGTACAATACACCTCTAGCCCATGCACGGGATCTGACTCGTTCACTGAAAAAAGGTTTCGGCAAGCACTCGGGTTCATGATAAAGTTTTGATAAGCTTATTTTCTACTTTTAAACAAACGTTTTGTTTCGTTATTAAACGTAAAATTTATAAAGTATAAAAATTTCAGCCATCTGCTTGTCCTCTTCCGTGCTTTTGCTTTATCAAGCTAGCACTAATTATCAAATGACTTTTATTTTAGCCTAATATTTTTACTTTTTTTTAATTTTTGTTTTAGTCATCTTGGAGTTTCAGTTGATTCAGTTTTTCTCTTCGCTTTTCTTTCGCAAGTTGGTGATAGAAGAGTTTTTGGTTTACCGATTCATTGTTCAGACATGAGAAACCGAGTGACGTGATAGCAAAAATTGGCATTTATCCAAAGTATATCTCGGGCTCTAAGTAATGCTATGTATCTTGGGTTCAGATTAAAATTCTTCTGGCTCCGACCTCCAAAGCTCATCTATACTACTTATACTCATGCATTTTTCTTTTTGTAAACGTACCGAAAAGTTTGTACCATCGCTGACAGAGTACATAAAGCTGATAAAGCATGTTAGAATATTTGTTGTGACGACAATTTTAAGTGGATAAGAATGAGACTACTATGCACCTCTCATAACGTTAATTGAGATTACTTTTCCTATGTAATTTACTGCTAAATTTAAATAGTACACTGGAGGCAAAATTTTTTAAAATGGAAGTTACGTTAAAGTTTTCTAAATTTTTTTACAGTGTTGCTATTTTTGGAAATAAATTTTATTAACAAAATGGAAAAAAATCGGCCTCATCTCGTTTATTATAAATGCTTTGGATTTTTATTCTTCTTAAAAAAAGGCTCTGTGATGTTGTTCATTACGCATTCTCTCCCTCTACCTCTTATTTTTCCTTTCCATTATTCTCTCAAGCACTTTAACTTCTCTATGTAAGCTATAATTAGTGGATTAAGTGGAAATTAGCAAAGTAAATGGCACTTTTACTTCTCTATGTAAGCTATAATTAATGGATTAAGAGGAAATTAGAAAAGTAAATGGCACTTTTACTTCTCTATGTCAGCTATAATTAGTGGATTAAGTGAAAATTAACAAAGTAAATCTGCTTATAGTAATACATTAGAAGTAAAAGGGGAGAATGTGTGATGAACAGCATCACAGGTTTTAAAGTTTTTAAATCTGTCAAGTTTAATCAGTCAGTATTCTGAAATGGTAATTATTGTTAATTCTGTTCATAATATTTTATTCACGGATATTAATTTCCTTGTCCTTTTTTTTTTTAGATAACAGCAGCCAGATTTCTCAGCCGGACACAGAACTCATTGATATTTTCGAGCCACCATCAGAACCTCTTTTCACACCAACATTCATTTTAATGACGTGTTCCTTGAGCCTGGCCGCTGTGGTCATTCTTCTAGCCATTGTCCTTGGTCTCAGGCGCATCAGACAGAAATCTTTAATCCAATCGCCTGTTCCAGGGTACATATCTCCGAACGAACGTGCTCCCCATTTGAGCAACAATGACGATCCTGACGTAGAGATAGATCTCGACAAACTGCCTTCGAATGTGTCCTACCACCGCACACAAGCAAAACTACATCCGAAACTTGAAAACCTCGAATATCCTCGAAATGATATCATCTATATCAGGGACATAGGACAAGGAGCTTTTGGTCGTGTCTTTCAGGCTAAAGCTCCAGGATTGGTCAAAGCTGAAGACTTCACTATGATAGCTGTCAAAATGCTGAAGGATGAAGCATCTGATGATCTTCAGAGTGATTTTGAACGTGAAGCTTGTTTAATGGCTGAATTTGACCATCCAAATATTGTCAAACTTCTTGGAGTGTGTGCCATTGGCAAGCCTATGTGCTTGCTCTTCGAATTCATGGGTAAAGGAGATTTAAACGAGTTTTTGAGGTCCTGTTCTCCCACCAACTACATAATGCACACCGGCACCGGTAACCTGTTTAGTGATGTGCGTTTGACGCACCTTGATCTTACAAACATCGCCAAGCAGGTCGCAGCCGGAATGGTTTATCTTTCTGAAAGGAAATTTGTACATCGTGACCTTGCCACTAGAAATTGCCTCGTCTCTGAAGACATGGTGGTCAAAATATCTGATTTCGGACTGTCTCAAAAGATCTATGCCGCTAACTACTACAAAGGTAATGAAGATGATGCCATTCCAATACGCTGGATGCCTCTTGAATCAATCCTTTACAATAAATTCATAATAGAGTCCGATGTTTGGGCATTTGGTGTTGTTTTGTGGGAAATATTCACATTTGCTCTCCAGCCTTATTATGGCATGACCCATGAAGAAGTGGTCAAGTATATCCAGGAAGGTAACACACTGAAGCGACCGGACGATTGTCCGAATGAGATTTACAAGCTTATGCAGTGCTGCTGGAAGAGAAAGCCATCTGATAGACCACCTTTTAAAACACTGTATAAATCTTTAGGAACTATTCACAATGACCTTTTGAAAAGGCAGTCCAAAGACCAAAGGACTCATGTGTGATCAAAGAATTTAGAAACTTTCAAACGGACCAAAGAGACTGCAGAAGTGAATCTAGTTTGAATGCATGGCTTACTATTTAATTTTTGAAACTAAAGAGCGGCTAAATTTACTGGGGGTGACATTTTTGTACAAATCGCTGTACTTTGACATTTTAATGTTTTTTTTTTAATTATAATTCCTATTGAAATTCCCAGTGAGATAAGTGGCTTGTGAACGATTTACCATACATCATTCATATCCGCAGGTGATTGTGATCTAAGGAAAATGCAAAACGCGATGTTTTCAGTGTTTCAGAAAATAATAGGTCGTGTCTTATAAACATTTAAAAAAAATGTTATTATCACAACATAAGAAATAATCTTAATTTCAAGTGATCTCACAATCTCCATATCCAAAGAGCCTAGTCTTCATGATTCTAATATATTTCATTCTGCTTTCTCTTCCAAGATTGGTTTGTAAATTTTATTTCCTTCGAGATTTAGTTTTAAGATTTGTGGAAGATATGACATATATGTTATAAGTGATTTTTATTCATATCAAAAGACAGTCATCGACTTTGTAAATATGTTCATTTTCAGGCTCGTAAGAATATAAATTTTAGATTATTTTTTTATTGTAACATATAACTCTTTCGAAAGAAAACCGTTCAGAATGTGATTCTGGAGTTGAGTTGATTATTTGTAAAAATAAGTTCAACTTGACAATCATTCTGTGATTTTACATATGACTGTATTTTGTTAAACATTATTTCTAAAAGTGTTTACATGAGGCACGGATCTTGACGGCTGGTTTAAAAAAAATTTTTTTGAACTGAGGCAAATAAACCCTCAAAAGAGCCCTAAATAATTATAAACAAATCATTTTAAAACTGTCAAATAATTCGCTGATTAATTTTAAGTGAAAACTGTGAGAAATTTTTTTTCCAATTTCTTAAAACTGCTGAATAGTTTTAATTAGATACCTTTAAAAAAATCCGTTTAATAATTATTTAAAAACTGTCTAACTGCACTGCACAGTTGATCTAAATTAAATTTATTTAAAATGCGCTAAATCGTTGTAATTAAATTTCATTCAAATTATCAAAATGCTCTGAATAATTGTCAATTAAATTTATTGAAAACTCTCAACAGAAAATCTGAAATTTCGAAAAAGAAGTAAGACAATTTTAAATTATGCCAAGCGATAATGAATATGATAAAAAAGTGTTATTAAGGTAATTCTTTAATCCTTTCATATTTCTAGTTCTGATTTTATTCTTTTGATATTTCTAGTTCTGATTTTATTTTTTTGATATTTCTAGTTCTGATTTTATTCTTTTGATATTTCTAGTTCTGATTTTATTCTTTCGATATTTCTAGTTCTGAAGTAATCTCGTTTTTATGTTTCTAAAATTGCAAGTAATTCACAAAGTAACTTAAAATAAATAAATATAAACATTCTAATTATAATTATTTAATAAATGTTCCAAAAATGCCAGTCGTCAAGTTCCCGGACTTCGACGTGAGAGCGGAACTGACAGCCTGAAAAACTTTCATGTGTGAATTTGTATATATATATATATATTATGAATGTCTTTTTCTAAAAGAAATTACATTTTATTGTGATGTGTTTTTTGTAAAAACTTCCAATTGTTATTTCTGAATTCAAAAAACTAAAAAAACTCGAGTAATTTTTATCGTGATAAAATGTAATAAAAGAAACATTGTCTTACTGACATTCCGAGCGACTGGAACTCTGAGATGCTTGTACTTATTAAAAAGTTACTATTTGATATTTTCTTTGTACTTAGGATGCTAATTCATTTTATTACTTTTGAACATTTCAATATTTTAAATATGTTTATATTTTTAATCCGTTTGGGTATATTTTAATCGAGCTTTTTCGGAACTATTCACTACTCTTTTGGCTGTCTTTTAGGTTCGACTACAATGAACGCTTGTAAAATTCAAAAAAAAAAAAAAGATTTAGCCAGATCTATAAAATTATAAACTTTATTTTTTAATAAAGACCTTGCAATAGACCATTCTTCAGCTATCGTCTGAATTTAAAACTTGAAATTTAATACTAAATGCTTAACTTTGAATTTTAAATTTTTTTAAAAAAGTTTTATCTTTAATTTTTTAATTGAATTTGTAAATAATTTGACGTAAACTGTTCTCAATAAAAAATATTTTCGGTTTCGAATATTGAATATATGAATATTGCCTGTCAAGTTGACTTTTTTCTTTTTAATCGTTACGTGTTATGTTTCATGCAGGGGTCGAAAAATTAAGATTTTTTATGATAAACGAAAATATTTTTTCTTAGCAAAAATAAATTTGCATTTTGATAAATGATTATATTATTGCCTCGTTATTTTGGGTACGTTGATGAATAATCGTTTGTAAATAAATAGGAAAAAAACCCTTTTGCGTTGTGACGACATGTTGTCTCTATGACTTATCAAATATTCTGTGTATGTCACAGGTATGTGAATGTATCACAGTTCATATTCTGTATGAGAGCATATTATTGAAAAATAAAGAATTTATCTTCAACAACTTTTCCGTATTACAACAGAGTTATCTCTATGACAAAATAAATTATCTGTAATTAGTTTACATTTTAATATTTTTAAAGACGAAAAATGTCTACAGCATTTAAAACTTTCAGATTTACTTTTTGATCAAACATATATTTTTCTTCAAGTGTAAAATTCTTAGTAGAGCTGAAATGCACTGACTGCACTCTGTTTTGGTTTAAAAGAGAATTTAAATTAACTACTGACCTGTGTGTCAAATTTTTTGAAAAGTTTTGCTTTAAAAAATTGTGTTCATTTTCGTCTGCATATTTATTGTGACGTAAAAAAATTGCAAGTTTGCAAAAGTTGTTTGAAAAAAACATTTAAAAAAATTGCACGTTTACTTCTCTTTTAAAAATCTAGCTTTTCAAATTTTATATTAAATCGTGTCAATTTAAATTCGAGGGTAAGTTCCGAAAGTTGTCGATTGAGCTATAACCACTTCGTATTATGATTGGAAGACTTATCTAATTCTTGCAACTCAAATTGTAAGAATCTAGATAATACTCACGCCTGCATACAAATTATAAACTAAATTTTATCCGCCCGAAAGGACCGTTCTCACTGCATGCGATTCACGCAGCTCCAATCGTCTTCGAGAGGAAAATAACGAACTTAATCTGTTGATTTTAAGCGGGAAAATAATTTCACCTTCTCATCCTCTCTCAACGGCAATAGAAGGTGCGCGATCACACGCAGTGAGAATAGTCCTTTTACGTTTTGTTTATATTTTACATGGTATTGTTTTAAAGACCATCTTTATCATATTTCTTACATATCATAAACAAATGAGCATTAATTTTATTTTTGTGTTATTATTTTTAAGAAACCTTTTGAACGCTCTCTCTAAATGTTCTTCCGACTTATGCACTTACTGTCTCCTTTCCTCGTAATTCAGAATCATTATTTTATCATATAAGGCAAATGGAAGAGGCCTTTTTTATACACATGGCTCAATAAATATTTATTTGAAAAATCTTTTGTCTCATTTAGTTTGTGTTTCACTTTTATGCTTGTTCTCTAGTACACTTACTGGCCAAGAGTATCCTGTATAGTCTCAGAGAGTTCTGAGGCATATATGTTGCTACCCCCTTTTGCATCACTGACAGCCTGGATATTGTTTGGGGAGAGAGACTTTCAACCAGTTTTTCAATAGGTGGCCATAAGAATTGGTTCCCATGACAACTGAATTTTGTGCTAGCAGCGAGGATGGTCGATTTGGCTGCATTCTAATTTGAGCCAGACCAGTGATCTGTGGGATTTTAGATCAAGGATCTGAGAACTGTAGGTCAGTTTTTGAACACCCATTTCGTTAAACCGTATCTCGCAAGTCTCGATGTGTGAATGAAGCAGTTATATTGTTGCTAGAGGAATTGGGCTATTTTTCCAGAAGTATTGCCATAGACTATGGAAAGCTGCATTGCCAGGAATGTCCCTATAGTTCTTCAAGTTCTTGTTTCTAACCTCAGGAACTAAGCCAAACCATTAAAAAAAACCTACATTATGATTTAGGTGGATGTTTGGATACTTTTGGTTCGATAGTGTATCTAGTGCCCCAAAATGACCGATGATTTAACTAACCGAAAAAGATATAAATGCATGATTTGTTGTCTACTTGGAGAACCGATTGTTTTTATCTCACCAAGTTTCTTAATTACTTATAAAGTTCATATTAATTGGTATTGCAGGCTGGAAAAATTTGTGGAACAATGATTTCAAAATAAGCACCGTTTGCAACAATAATATGGGGCAGTTTGTAAACCAAATTTAGTTAGCATGTCGTGGGACAGAAAGTTGTAGTTTAGCATTTTCCTAGTCGGCATCGTCATCTACCTTGAAACTAATTTTAAAATTTATTAAGGAAAAAAATATTTCCTGAGTATTCTCTAAAGACACTCGCCTAAGATGGAACGAAACTTCCCCCAAAAATGCTACTTTTTTTTTGGTAGAAGAAGGAAAAAGAATTTTTGAGACTTGTTAAATGCAAAGTTTTGCTTTTGTTTATTATATACTAAATATTGTTTAGATATTTATATTTTTTCTATCTTATAAAGTGTTTCGTGTCCTGAAATAGCTCTCTGCCAATGTTTCCAAATTAACTTGTTGACATTTCTGAAGTATAAAATGTACGCGATTTTCTTCCTCCAATAGGTTGTAGTTATAATGCAAACAAAGATATGCTCCATTGAAATAAAGCTACCTTGATTTTATGGCTACCTTGACTTAATGGTATAACAACAGGGATGGGCAAACTTTTTTAGTCGAGGACCAAAAATTGAGAAAAAAAATTGTTTGGTGGGCCAAGTAAAAACTTCAAAATTTAAATTTTTAAAAAAACCAATATTTAAGTTTTAATTTAAGTATTTAGTGAGATGAATGAAATTTCGATTTCATTTTTAAAAGTTCCTTATACGAGGTTCGAAGTGAGATGTGCTTACTTTAAGGAACGAGGCTAAATGCTTGTCTGTTAGTCTACTTCTAAAATGATTGTTTAAGGTATCCGACTACCTTAAAAACGAGGATTTTCACAAAAAATCACTTTTTTATTTTATTGCTTTATAATAATGCCCAATTTTTCTAGTTTTCAAATCTGTTTTGTTTTTGAATGCACGTCAAGCAGAACTTTAGTTATAGCTATGTTAGTAGCAGATGACAGCTATCTAACTTACCGGAAATTACAAAAATGAAACCGGTAGTAGGTAATAGTTTCGGTTCCATTTCTATTTGTGTGTTTATTTTTCTAAGATATTTAATTTTTAAAAGCTCTTAAACTCTCAGCTAATAATCTGAATTATATTTTAATTAGATTTTACGTTTCGTGGTTACTGTTTGTGGGTAACATGAAAAGTTAGCATATTTTCTGATAGTTTGTTTACATTTGAAGCGTACTTTCTATATCTTGATTTTGATTTGTTTTGAAGAAATTTATTGATTTCTTTCAAAAAAATTTGTTATTTATTTTGATGAATTTATTGAAATGGGTAAAGGACGTACTTCNTTAAAATGCGCAGTCTGCCACACGTGAAGCATAATTCACCTATATTAGATTCCATAAGTTTGCTCCTCGAGAAAGACAAACGCCAATCTACAGCTATTCTATAAAGAACTTCTGCTTTCAACATTTTACCAATTGAAGCTCTCTGTGCTATTTCCATCAATTTATTTGTAGAACAAAAATAGAGAAAGTAAAAAGGTCATCAGTACTTTGTTAAAAAAGAAAGAACATAAATAGCTTTAAACAAAGTCGACAAGAAAATAGATGCATATTTTTTATATTTACCCTGGATCGGCAAGTTAAAATTCTATCTGCGGGCCGGATAAAACCTTCCGACGGGCCACAGTTGGCCCGCGGGCCGTAGTTTGCCCATCTCTGGTATACAACATCGCATATTTTGAGCTAAGCATGGCGTATATTTGGACTTATATCAGAAGTGGCTTTAATTCAGTAGAATATCCACCCCCCCTCCTTTTTTTTCCTTGTCCATGTGGAGAAGGAAGAGACAAGAGAGTAACTCTTTATAAATATGTATTTGTATAAACATCTTAAT